TCCTCCCGTTACCCTAAGCTCAGTATACCGGGAGCTACAGCTCGCGTTATGCTGAGACGCTGCAGCGGATCCTGACATCGATGTCAAAATCCGCCCAGTTGCGTGAGTGACAGCTGGCTCTGCCTATCTAGAGGCAGAGCCAGCTGTACCCACCCCCTCCCCGTCTGTTCCGCCAGCCAGCGCTGGCGGATCGGAGCGGGGGGAATCCAGCACCTCCCCTGTCACGGCAGAGAGCCGTGACAGGATCGAGAGGTGAGCGAACGCCGGTATATGTTCGCTCACCTCCCGATCTACTGAGCCGACCTGTGACAGTCTCATTGTCACAGGTCGGCTAGAACTATGAGGTGAGTGAAAAGCACTCACCTCATAGTTCTCCTTTAAGACTGCTCTGTGTTTTGTTTGGTACAACACTTTTGTGTTGAACCGTTTTAGATTTATAATATTAAATGATGCATCAGCATTACATGCAGGACATGATGGGTTGAAGCACATTTTTAGAGGCAAAATTTTACGCCAAACTGAAACAAGCCTACATTTGACAAAGGTGTCCACAATTATGGCCCCTAATGTATATATACACACACATACATATCAATGGTGTCTTATCTTGCAACAGAAATGGTGCACTATTAACATTTTTACATTTCAGTATAAAGCAAAATGGGTATTACATTTTGGTTTGCAGTAGAACAGATATAAAAAGCCTGCAGTATTCTGAGTAAAGAATTCAAACAAACTTCACTGAAAAGAAGTGACGTACATTTAATTTGCTGTTATATTCAAGTGCACTTTCAATACAGAGATACTCCAATGTGATACATGCCTCTTATACTTTAGACACAGACTTATAAATCAATAGAGCCCTCAGACTACTTTAAACCGCTAGTCAGATGCATTTTAGTCTTATTAATGTAAAAGCTGAGCATCTAAAAGCCTGTTCCTGAAATTGCATTCACAGCATTATTATATTGATCTAATGTCAGCTGGGAAATTAAAACTCAGCTATTAGGACTCTTAAGGCCACATGAATTTTGTCCATACGTTTGATACCACAGAAAAAGATGGACTTTTGCAAAAATTTGCAAACAATAGAAGTCTACAATGAGGCTAGTAGTGATTGTTTAAACATATAGAACACATATACTTTCATTACCTGTCCTATAAAATCTATACTATACCCATAGCAGTTAAATTGATTGGTTTGGTAATTGTGCTACTTTCCACTCACATTGCAAGTAGCACAATTATCCTATCTTGCCAGATTAAGTATATTTTTACAAAAATAACATTGGTCATGCTATAATTTAAAGGGAATATACAAAAAAATAAAATCCCCATTTGCCCGGGACCTCTTCCAGTATTAAATAGGGAGGGTTACCACTTCACTCAATTGCTGTGTAATCTATTGCAGGCTCCCCAGCCTGCAGGTGTTTGCAATATAGACTTTTGTCCAAACAGAGTAAAACAACATTTCACACACAGAAGCATTGTACATTTTAGGGTTGTGCCAAAATGTTACCCACTGGGTGAAATCTAAAAAAAATATAGCTCAGAATTTATGAAAATTCTGTAAGGGATGTAATAAGGGGAGCATTTTCAATATTTGGAGACCTGAAAAATATCTGCTAACAATGGAATAGGTCCACTATTAGAAAAAAGTGTTAAAATGTTTTAAGAGAGCTTAATCAGGGCAGTTCAGAATATCTTTCCCCATCTGCCAATGTAAGGAAAAGGGGAAGTTTAAAAAAAAAAAGCTAAAGTTCCTGAACAATGTTTTAATGTTTTTAAAATGCGAAGTTCTTTAAGGTGGTTTACATGAGGTGTGGTCAGCATAAACTGGATGAAAAAATCAGTTACAACTTGCAAGAAACTAATATAGTTTATCTACCTTAATCTGAATATAATAAGGCGTCACTGATTGCTGGATGCGCTGCACATGATGAGAACATCACTCAGTTGAAATATCATGCTATCTGACAAAACAAAGCATACTTCTTGCAAATCTTACCTTTTCTCAGTTGCTCACCTTGTTGTGGGCCCAAATATACCAAGTTACTTACCCAAGAAATGTAAAAATGAAATAAAAAGGTACTTACATTGGGTAAGAATTCCCAGCAGTTCTGTTTTAAAGATCTCCTTGGCTTCCTCCATCTGCTCTTCATGTGTTGCTTTTTCATTTATCAGTCGTCTAACATGACTATTTGCAGACTGCACCATTGAGTAGAACTGGTTTGCTGACCTTCGATTAACTTCTCCTCTCTCTATCCAGGTCACGAGGACAGCGATAGCTTCTGAGAATTTGGTGTCATCTAAATAGAAGAACAAAGAGACCTGAAAATTCACCATATTTTCTCTCCTTGTATGTACACCACGCAAAGCGACTATGTAACGTGGGTTTAGTGCAATAAGTGATATGTATGCATCAATGTGCTAAAAAAATGCTGGAATAGGATTTAATAATTGAGTATGCATTGCTCAAATTATTTTCTCTCTGGCTATTTCATATGCACACCTGCATTTTTACATTTATTGTCAGATAAAATCAAAACCTAAATTGTTAATTTAGACTGCCACAACCTATTATGACCCATTATGGTAACTTTAACCTTCCATTGTAAAGTTGCTATACTGTAGCAGTGTTTTCCCAAAGTGTGGGACATTTACTACTGGTGGTACACATGTTCACTGTTGGTGCTACACAGCAAAACTATCAAGTGAAACAAATAGCTCACTATATCGATCAGCAACAAGCACTAGCAGAAGAATGTTGATTGGATACACCTATTATCTTGAAAATGTAAAGTCATTATTAGGCACTGCCAGCCTTTTAAAGGCAGTGTGACATAAGTTCTTCATGAATACTGTACAGTGCAATACACGTGGCTAAGGCAGAGTTGTGACAGTGTAGCTGGAAGGCAGACACAAAAACACATCTATTAACAGGACAGATAGTACTTTTACACAACAATGTTTGGGATTGTACACACAACTGACAAACTGGGAAACACTAAAAGCTACAAGATAATAATTTTTTACATTATTTAATGTACTCTGTCTAGTTAATTTGCACAGAAAAATATAATAATTTGGAATAATACAGTGTTAATGTGCTTACAGACTTAGTAACAGGTAAACCTCTATGGGACAGCTTCAGATAGTCACAAATGACCATTCCCAGAAAAGGTAGACAAAAGGTAGACAACTGTCATCAGTCTTTCTTTTACCTCCATTTTACCTTGCTTAAGCTAGCTGCTTATGAAACCAAAAATTCTTGTTTAGGGCTGAAGCTGGGCCAGCAGAAACCACGATATAGGAGAACTTGTCTGCAATGTTTCAGTTCTCTGATGTCTATAGCCAGCTTTCAATGTCCTACGCTCTTTAAAATGATAGAAACTATACTAGTCCTGTGACTAATTGTTGCATTATGTTTTTTTTCATTATCTATTTTTTCTGAAGCATTTCTCCAAACTCTAGAAGGAAGCTATGTCTAGGATAACTATAACAATTTTGTGCAAAGGACGGCAAATATTATTTGTTACGATAATATTTTATTAGCTGCAAAAAAAAAAAACTGATTGACTTCAACACAACTTACCCACAATGAGCAATTGGAACCCTTTAATTTATAATGTGCATCCAACAGCTGCTACATGATTTGGCACATATATACTGCTCCTTCTTAAGTTGAACAAAATATAGAGACAACCTTTCAGATTAAATTTATTCCATCTATAAAAGCTGGCACAGGCTTCCTTTAGGGAGACACTAACCTTCCTAAACCAGGTCAATAAGTAGCTAAGAAACTCAATGACCTAAGCAACTGGGACACATGGGAGTTCTATATAATGCTTATACAATCTATGCTACCATAAGCATTGTAATCAAATAAACAAATACGGAATAGGGTAGCATTACAATTATTCACATCTGATACCAATTGCTTCCATTACAATAATGGTAAAATATAAAAATATGATCCAGTAATACTATTCTACATTATTAGTAAAGCCATTAAATCGTTTTTGTAGATGAGCTTTACATCGAACCTTTAAGAGTAACATTGCATATGGAACTATGCTTTTATTCAGCATTTCACAACTTTGTTTTATGTAGTTCATTTATGTTCATTTGACTACATCTTTATACTGTAATCAAAGACAATGCCAACCTAAAGTCTGATACCATGGCTATTAACAATTCTGTATCAATGTTAAAATTAAAATAAAATATTCTCAGTATTTACACTCTGGAGAAGTAATGTTGCTTCATAATGTGCTGTTATAAACAGAGCTGGTGCTGCCACAAGGCAACCGCCTAGGGCGCAGCCTCGTTGAGCGGCTTCCTCGCATTCTGCCAGCTTTCTGATACCACTAGGTTATCCCAAGACATGTAAGTGGTCTTCATAAAGATGGACGAGGAGGGAGGGCAGTTTGATAACATGAGCTTTTCCCTCTAGTGTTCAGAGCCCCTCCCTCATGACCTCAGCCAGGGTTGAAACCAGAAAATGAGCCATGAGGGAGGCGTGGCCGGCTCAGTGGGAATGTTTGAACTCTAGCAGCTACAGTTCAGCCAGAGGAGAACGCTGAGACCACTATGGGGGCTATGAAGGCCTGCTCACCCCTACGTGGCTGGGCTAGGGATACCTTGCCGAGGGCATGGATCCTGTGTGCTATAGAAGGGCTGGGGACACCATGGAGGGGACATGGACCCTGTGTGCTAGCAAGCGTGTTTGGGGAGAATGGGCTTGCTGGTTCGTGGGGGAGGAGGGGATCAGGGGGATGGAGCTAGCTGGTCTGCAGAGGGGAAAAGGACTAGGCAGTCCACTGGGGCAGGATAGAGCTAGCCTTCCTAGGGTGCAAAATAGTCTAGCACCGGCCCTGACTATAAACATTATTTAGCCTCACTCTCAACAACTCCCCAGGAAATACAAACATTGAGGCATAACACTAATTTACACAGGTCATATGTTTTATGACATGATTTCTGATTGGTTACCATGGGTTACTGCACATTCTACAACACCGCTGGCTGCCTTCACTGTATGCATACAATGAAAAAATATGAGGGTTTATTTTTTAGAGAAATACAAACAGAATTTGGTTTGCAACTTCTTGTATCAGTGTTCCTTAAATCTAGTTTACTGGCCAGCTATTGAAAACTACAGAATAACAATCTAGAAAAACGACAAATTTGTTTTTTTTTTTAATTGCCAAATGCAAGCAGACTACCTTACAAAACTGACATAAAATTAAATTTTAAATGTAAGTTGACAAAATTCGAACATCTGTCGAGGTCTGTATTTTAAGCAATTATGTATAGCAATTATATTTTACCAAATTAATTCAGGCCAGGTTCACATGTGCGCTTTCCGGGACACACGTTTACGCATTGATTTCAATGGGGACTTTATTATAATGCCACAGATTTCACTATAATACACTAAAATGTTACCATGCTTTCCGATGCACTTCCACTGACTTAAAACACCTGAACTGACCTTTGCCTGTCTTCCGACCATGTTTCTGCCAGCCACATAGACTGAACCTTTACACAACACCTCACCATACCTCAGCCTTCTGACTGTAGTGATCCATCTGCATATCTCACTGACTATGTTGTTGCCATTGTGCCAAATTGTCAGAATTCATGGACTTCCAGTTAATATTGTCTTGAACGTGGCTCTCAGTTTGTGTTCATATTGTGGAAAGCCCGTGGCGCTATGCTTGGCATCAATTCCTTTTTTTTTCATCTGCATACCATCCCAAGACAAATGGGCAAACTGAACAGTCTGTCATTGGAAAACTTTCTAAGATGTATTGTCTCTGATACAGAATGGGCCTTGTTTCTACCTTGGGCTGGGTATAAGTATAACAATTAGATGCATTCATTCTCGGGTTGCTTTCCTTTCTTCTGTGTCTATGGTCAACATCTCAGAGCATGTTCTTTGTGCAACCTCCCCTCTAAAACATGCACTGGTCACCCCCAAAACTCTCACTGAACCCCACCAACCTTAACAATCTCAGACCAATCACTTTACTGCAATTCATCCCAACTCCTAGAATGCCTAATCTACATCTGCCTAAACTGCCACCTCACTGATAACCTCCTCGACCCCTTACAATCCGGCTTTTATCCCCAACACCCTGAACTGCCCTCCTAAAAATCACTAATTACTTACTATTTGCTAAAACAATGGCCAGTTGACAACCCACTGCTCTCCAAAAACTACAGTCACTTGGCCTCCAAGCCTCAGCTCTCTCATGGTTCTCTTTCTTCCTATGTGCTTCTTTGTCACCTACAAATCTATCTCCTCATCCTCTTTCTGTAGGACTCCCCAAGGCTCTGTCCTTACATAGTTACATAGTTACATAGTATTTGAGGTTGAATAAAGACATTAGTCCATCAAGTCCAACCTATTAGGATCTCATTCTAGGAGTACCTGTACCCCTGTATATTACGGTCCCTTAAGAAATCGTCCAAAAGTTTCTTGAACAATTCCACATTCTTTGCTGAAATCACTGTCTGTGGCAGTGAGTTCCAGACCCTAACTGATCTTACTGTGAAGAACCCCCTTCGCCCCTTGTGCTGGAATTTTTTTTCCACCAATTTTAGGTGGTGGCCTCTAGTTTTTGTAATGGAGTTAATTTTAAACAGTTTATCGCTAATGTTGCTGCCACCATTGAACATTTTGTACATGGAGATCATATACCCCCTCAATCTCCTCACCTCCAATGTGAACATGTTTAAATTTAGTAGCCTTGTCTCGTAGCTCTGGTCCTCCATACCCCTAATTAGTTTGGTTGCCCTCCGCTGGACTTTTTCCAACTCAAGGACATCTTTTCTTAGTACTGGTGACCAGAACTGGACCGCGTACTCCAGATGAGGTCGAACCAATGATCTATAAAGTGGCAAAATTATAGACCTTGAATCCCTTCTCTTCTCTATCTACACCTCCTTCCTTGGTGAGCTGATAACCTCGAATGGCTTCCAATACCATCTCTATGCCCTCTAAATATATCTCTCCACTCCACAACTCACCCCTTCGGTGTCCTTGCATGTCACTAATTAACTAACTGACATATAATTTTGGATGTCATAACACTTTTTAAAACTTAATCTTTCAAAAACTGAGCTCATGTTATTTCATTCCCCCGATGCACCTTTCCCCAACTTTTCCATTAGGATTGGTAACACAACTATCCCTCCCACCCTTCTCATGCCAAGGTGCTATGTGTGATTATGGACTTTTACCTTGCTTTCTGCCACACATCCAATCACTATTCAAATTCTGCTGCTTTCACCTTCAGAACATCTACAAAATACGCCTCTTCCTAACCAATGAAACCACAAAGCTTCTAATCCATTAACTTATCTCTCATCTTGACTATTGCAACTCCCTCCTCATTGGCCTACCTCTACACAGGCTATCCCCCCTTCAGTCCATCATGAATGCCGCTGCTAGACTCATCCACCTAACCAACTGCTCAGTGTCTGCCACCCCCCTCTGCCAATCCCTCCACTGGCTTCTAATCACACAAAGGATACATTTCTAAATATTAACAACCACTTACAAAGCCATCCACAACTTTGCCCCCGGCTATATCTCCAACCTTATCTCAAAGTATCACCCTAACCATCCTCTGTGCTCCTTTCCAAGACCTCCTGCTCTCTAGCTCCCTTGTCAACTCCTCCCATGCGTGCCTCCAGGACTTCTCTAGAGTCTCTCCTATCCTATGGAACTCCCTACTCCAACCTGTCTTGCTATCTCTCACTCTCTCTGTGTTTAGGTGGCTGTGGAGATGTGATTGGGGGGGGCTGAGGAGAAGTGATTGGAGAAGGGGGGGCCGCAGAGATGTGATTGGGGGGCTGCAGAGATGTGATCATGTGATTGGAGAAGGGGGGACTGAGGACATGTGATTGGAGAAGGGGGTCTTTAGATATGTGATTGGAGAAGGAGAGGCGGCTGCAGAGATGGGAAGGGACCATGATTTGAGAGGGCTGGGGAAAGGTGATGGGAGGTGCAGGAAATATGTGATGGAAGGGGTGGAGTTGGGGGAGAGGTGCAGGGGGGACCGCGGTGATGGGAGAGTCCAGGTTGCATATGAAGATAGTGGAAAGAACAGAGGACATGAGAGAGATGGGGGAGAAAACAGGCATATCTCCTAAACCTATAGGGGTCACCTGTCCCCATTTATTTATGTGTAATTGCTGTAAATATTAGGGATGCACCGATATATCGGCCGCCAAAACATATCGGCCGAAAATGGCACCTTTGGCTAAAAGCCGAAAGTGCAATTTTTCTGCCGATACAGCGGCACATCCCTGCTTTCTTTCCTCCCCTCTGTGTCCAAGCGGGGAGGAGAGAAAGTGTGACAGCCGGCCGAGCGTTGCGGGAGGAGAGCGCTGTGTTTGTGTTTTGGGGGGGGGGGGCAAAAAAAATCTTGCACCAGGGCCCTTTGTTCCTTAGGTCCGCCACTGAACTTCAATGTCCTGATCTGCATATTTGCTTTTAATACCATTGGATCAGCATGATAGCCAGCATTTTTAGAAGCAGAGGTCAGTAGTGGTGGCCTTCAAACTATTAACATATTAAAAAGTTATTTTACATCGTATATACAATAAACTAGAACTGTTCCCTGTAGCAGACAGATTTTTTATTTCCCCTGAGAATGAAAGACAAAAATCTGGTTTGTAGATTAAGACATCCCTAAGGAGCAGGCAAAACATAGACAACTATAAATTATTTTATGGCTAGTGCAAAATCTGACAAAACGTGATAATAACGTTCATGGAATGGGGACTTTAACCTTACTATCTTGTAATGCTCTTTTTCAGGCTTTCCCTCTTCAGGGAGGTATTAACAGTTTATATATTGCTAATATTGTTAGTCTTTAGAATTAGACGGATGAGGAGATATTACATTTTCACCTAACCCACCAACCACAGGCAATAATGGTATGAATACCAATACTGTGCAAACATAAAGCTGTACTTTTCAACATTTTATAAATTATAGTAGCGAGCGGGTTTTTAAAGAGGAACTTTACCCACATATTTAAATTAACAAAGGCACCTTTAGAAATGTTTAGTAATGACAATCTACAAACAGATACTTCTAGATAACTGCAGGCTTTTTATTTTCTTCCCCAGTCTTCTGACAGTGGGCATTTTAACTAAGGGCAGCTAACTAGATCTCCCTTTACTTCCTCGAACTCTGGGACATGTAACCATACACATCATCTCAGGGGAGGAAATGCCTTTCCCTGAGATCCCATAAGATTACAGATGCTCTGCTGATGTAGCCCTCCCAGGATGCAACTTGTGGCCACAATGACATAATTTGTGGCAAAGTGGACCAGGACGTGGAAAAAAAGAAATTGTAAGTATAATAAAAATTATGTTTGTTAAGCTAATGAATGTAAGATGATTTCATATCAGCATGCAGAGCTGTATGCTGATGTGATTTTTAGTCAAGGGGGGTAAAGGTCCACTTTAACCGGAGGTCTCCAAACCCATAATGTGGGTATGTGAAACAAACAGTGGGAGAACAAGACCACCTCTCCAAATAATTAAACAAACAAAAAAAAAAGTATTCTCTGCATTACTGAAAATAAAAGGAAAGTGCAAAAATCGAGTAATATTGTCAGTAGCTGTTCCTCATTTACATGTTTTGGCAGCACAAAAACAACAGCAGAAAATCTTACTAGTTGTAGCTAGGTCATGTTTTTATATAACATAACTGACTTTCTATCAGTTATACGGTTCCTAGGTATCCATATGCATGTTAAAACCAAGCTTGTATGTAATTGGACTGGTGATAATGATGATGAATTCCTCAGTCTGGTGAATAGAGAAGAAGGGCATATTGGGCAATCCATTACAGGTTTATAAATTTTAAAATAGGTTATCAACCCCTACACTATAGTTTTTTATCTAGCTGCCTTATGTCAGAATCACTATGAGGTAATACAGGTCACTGCAGCTAAGCAGACTATGCTTTACCTTTCAGTTTCTCTGCAAGCACTGTGGCCTCATGTTCAGAATAATGCATGATTGCTGGTGGTGATGGAGGGCGCAGCATGTCCACTTCCAGCTTGCGTCTGTGGCGCTCTTCCCTTGCAAACATTCTCTGTTTACATTCCCATTCATAAAAGTCATCTCTTGCTTGTGCAAAATCTACATGTAGGCGACCAGAGTCCTTTTTATCTGTACTGGATCCTAATCGCATTCGATAACCTTCAAACAACAAATACCATAATTACAACCACAGAAGTCTAATCGTAATGTGTATTCTTTTTTAATAGTAGACCAAAGCTAAGAACCTTTTAAGTCACATTTCAGAATACAAATGTGATATTGATGCTCTTAAGTTGTGTAACAGAATAAAACCATTATGTTTTAACAATGATATTATCTAGAGAATTGTTCATATATATATATATAAAAAAAAGCAAGAAAGGGTACATGGTAGGTGTACATCACAATTCATTTTACTTTCATGTAAACATAATAAATAAAGTGACAGACGAAAAAGAGGAACAGAAAACCCGGATCATTCTTAGAATTACTGAACAAATACAGATGAAATTCATATTCCTTTTGTACAGGACTTCTCCTTGTGTTATCAATCATACTATATAGTTAAATGCTAGCAATAAATTCAAAGTGAAGTAGTGGAGATATTGTCAAGAGCAGAAACAAGATGGGAGCCCATAACAAGATTCTTAAATGCCTCTACTATCTATAACTCTATCTTACAGGCAACCTCAAAACTGAGATCAGAGTTATTCATTTATATATTTAGGGCGGAATTTACCTTAGACACACTAGGCTCATGCCTATAGGCCGCAGAGACAGAGCTTTTTCCTGAACAATAATTTGTCACACATTATTTTGCAATCATTAGCAAGAATAGTTACCTTCTGAAAGGTTATTTAGCCTCAATATTTATCCAATGTTATAAGATTCTTAGACAAGTTAGGAGTGGGAAAATAAATGTTGTGTTTAAAACAGGTGATCTTAGCAGAGAGGTGTTACTTAGGGCAACAAGCAATGAGCGCATTCAGGATTCAGTGATGAAAATCCAGCCCTGCATATATATTTATGTGCCAGAATTGCCATGTTTTTTTATGTCTACGGAACTGTTATGCAGCGGAGCAGTGTCTCTATGATTACTTAAAGCCAAATTGAACTTTAGGTTTAAATCAGCTAAATATATTCCTGGAGCATCAAAACAAAAAGTGCGCATAATCTAAAAATTTGTTTTCTTTAGAAAGCAGCCACAGTCTGAGAGAAAAGCCTGCCCCTGCCAACATACGGTGGAGCAGGACTATTGCTTTCTATGTGAAAGCAGTAGTCACTCTGCAGATATCTGACATACCCACTGCTAAATTGGACCAATGGCTCTGCAACTGGGAAAGTGTACACTCCCTGTTGATTGGAGAGCTCTAGCTCTGACTCACAGGGGGCATGCCCGATCTCTGTAGAGACACCACTGCTTTCACATAGCATGAGACGTTTCTACTCAGGCTGTGTCTGCTTTCTACAAAACAAAACTGTAAGACTGTGCATACCTTTTGTTTTATTGCACCTGGAATGTATTTAGCTGATCTGAGATCAAAATTCAGGTGGGCCTTTATTATAACAAATGAGAGAACCTGGTGGGATGGAAGACTCCAACATTATTAAGGACTATTGGAGAAGCGGAGGTTTAGAGCAGGCCCAATTCTCCGTACAGGTCAGGTGCCTGTTGTACCCCCTGTTTTTATGTCACAGAAGATGTGATTGGAAAAAAACAAAAACAAAATGCACATGCTATATAGATATTGTGCTCACTAGCTTCTCTAAATTTTCTGACTTGTTACTTACAATGTATAATGAGTGCAGCTTCTGTACATTTTATGCTGTGCTCGCCTATAAAGGTGGTTCCCAACCATGCAAGAATTTTAATAATGGTAGAAGAAAGTGTCTTTTGGTCACTAAGTGACACTAATCAGCTCAGGCCTCGCCAGGAAGGAGCAGGAGTAGAGGATTGATCTAACCAGCATTATTCCCCAGCACCTGCAGTTTGTGAATGAAGTGATGTCACTCAAATGAGACACGCAGTCGGCACCAGCCGTGTCAATAGGAGCAGAAAGCAGACTCTGAGGAAGAGAAGAAAGCAGGGAGGAAGTGTGGGCTGCTCTGTCTTCTACTCCTAAGCACCTATGGCTTCAATGGGTGAGCGTGGAGGGCTGTACATTACTTACTCATGATCCTTGCACCCTGTGCGGTATACAGTTCTGACCTCTGCGCCCTGTGCATTACTTACTCCTGACCCCTGCAAACTGTGTGTTACTTATTCCCAACCACTGTACTCTTGCACCCCTGCATTATGTGCATTACGCAATCCTGATACCGCTATTCTGTACATTACATACTCTTGATCCCTGAATTCTGTGCGTTGCATACTCTTGACCCATTTAACCACACCCATTTAAGCCCCTCCCACTGTTAGCACAAATGTCCAAACCCACTATTCAGAATGGCGCACACAGCTCCTTACCCTACTTAAAGCCCAAACCAATTGAAAGGTACAGTTTATGGAAATGGATTGCCATGGGGTACACAGGTGATAAAGGTTGAAAACCACTGGCCTATAACATACATCACCAGCAGCCAATGTGGAGTGTTTATTTATGCTGTTTATTATTGCACTTTTGCAAAACTATCTTTTGTTTTATTGGAGAGAAATAATGAAAGAGTTACATTAAAAAATAAGAGAAATTCTACTATGTGGAAATCAGAGTTAATGATATTAATGTGTTTATTAATACAGCCTACACAAATATTAAACTTTACTCTAGGAACTCTTATTTTCCTCTTTGAGCTAAGGCTCACTGAACGCTTCAATTCCACAGAGAATTAAAGCGTTCAGTGACAACATGACCCAAGAGGAAGCAAAGACAGAACAAGTATGAATGTACAATATGTTACTTTACAAAATAGACACCATTCTGGAATGAACTTTAAATTTGTCAGGACGTGCGTTGCTCAATCAACTGACAAACCTCTCGGCATTCCAGCACTTGTGACAGCTGGCAGTGCTAGAAGTGTGGTATGCTTTAGCTTGATAAGTGGATCAGATGAGACTGGACATGGTTTGATAACACAAACAAGCCCAATAAGATTTAAAAAAACAGTGAAACTTCATGACAGGATGCTAATTGCATTTCTGCAGTTTCTATGACAACCACACAGTTCTGGGTCTCTGCTAGCTGCTGGTATTTCCATGTGCTAATTAAATAATTGTATCCATCACATGTAACCTGTGGAAACGTTATAGGTAATAGGTGACATCTTTTAAAACTAACATACAGGGTAATGGCGGGAGAGTGAAAAATGGCACACAAAAGGTTACCACTTTTTTTGTGTGTGGTTACTCTCTGAGCATAGTATATCTACAGAAACAAGATTATCAATATAACCAAATAAAAAAAAGGTGGTATAACAACAAAGGATTATATTTATATACATAAAGGTCTATTTAAACTCAAGATGCATACAAGGAGCATAACCCTCAGCTCAATACTTCGTTTTTCTGTAGTGCAGGCCACCCTCTGCCTTTCACCATTATTGTGGTGATCTAAGAACACCTGCAACAAAAGAAAACAATTCCCCCCCAAAAAATATGATCTGCAGGCAACATGTTGCCCCTCGCCTACAGCAAGTTTGATACATAAAGATGCCAGTACTAAGAAGCAACTGATGAAAAAAGGAGGAGGAGAGAGAGTTATACAGCACAGGCTTTAGAAAGTATACTCTAATGACTCAGTAAGGTACTTTCTGGATTCTGGCTGAAGTGACTAAAGGAAAAGCTGATTAAGTAAAATTGAGTAAAATGTTTGACTAACACAGTTGCATTGCTTGGTCTCCTCCACTGCACAGGTGGAATGTTCCTCAGCATCTTCATGTCTATACACTTGTATAGAGCCTGATGACACAAGGATTCTTAGACTGCTGCAGAGGAGGGCAAGAGAGACTCTAGGGAATCGGGTGAGTATAACCTTTCTATTTTTGCACCTAGACAAAAAGGAGCACTTAACCCTTGCAGTGCAGGGGAAGCCCCACTGCAAGGGTTAATAAATGTTTTCCCCCGGACTTCTTCTTCAACATTATAGAAAATAACAAAGACATTTAGAGGGTAGGGGGTTAAAAACAATGATGTTCAACCTATGGATGGGGCCACATGTGGCCCCAGCCTACTCTTGCCTCCTTTCTGATCTGCCCTCTTACAGGGGTAAAGAAAAGTTTGCACATCTCTTTTTAAAAGTGTATTACCTTGCCAACTGCAAATTATGGGCTAAGATGGTACCATCCTTGGCAGACCAGGAGGGGATCAAATTAATCTATCAATTTTGAATAACCAAAGCCATCTATCTGGAATAGAAATGCAGCTTTTCGTTTTATTAATGCAAGGTATATGAATGTTTAGTTCCGCTTTGCAAGAGTGTGAGCGGAAAGGTTCAACTCCTTAATGGTAATTGAAATGACTGCTGTCTTATCACTGCTTATTACTACTACTTTCCATAGCAAGTTATGGGTACTTAATGTAAGCAATGATAAACTGATAAAACACTTCCAAAAAATGACGGTCATTACTGAGCACTATGGCTGGTGCATTTGCATTTTTAAGGGTTTTTACTATTTAAACCATTTAATATCATCCTAATAGCTTATAGCTTTTTCATTTTTGCTTGAAGTAAATGGTGTTTGGGCCATATTCCTTACCAACTTTCTGCATTGAACGAATTCATAAGATTGTACCAAATATTACAAATAACAGCAGAGTAACCTTAATGGGTTTCAGTTTCCCAATGTGAAAGTAAGAACTTTAACCCCTTAGTGACCGGGGCCTTTTTGTACCCATGATATTATCCACATTTTAGGCCTGAAAATTACTTCAATCCCCCCCCCACATATTATATATTTTCTGAAAGCCAAGACCCTGTCGAATAACATGTTGGCAGTTTAAACTTTTTATGTTGCACGATATTAGCGCAACATATTATCAAACCCCAAAATGTAATGAAAAATGCCCTTAAATGCCCCAAAACACAATTAAATACCCATTTTTAAAATAAAATATAAAAGATGAGGTTACAACGAGTAAATAGATACCCAACATGCCCAGGTTAAAAATTGTGTACGTAAATGAAACTGCAACAAAATTCAGTACCCCAAAAGGTCCATAGATGATGCTTTAAAAGCCCCCACAGGTCATTAGTTTAGAGCAGTGGTTCTCAACCTATGTAACCTCAGGACCCACATTTGTCCTTGGTCATGAAGTCACGACCAAATTCACACTGCAATGAAATGCACGGAATTAGGGTACTGCGCATTCCAGTGCGGGCATACGAGCTATGTGTGGCGTGTGTGCTTGGGGTACCATTTAAATGAATGGCAACCCAATGCACCTCCCACACCAGAAAGTACGGTAAGTTCAATTACACGGTACAGTGCATTAATTGCATGGGACTGTGCGATTAACGCACAAAATCTCACACACTCACAGACATTCTCACACACACACATCCGCACTCTCAAAAATATTTAATAAAAAAAATGTAAGATCCGCCCAGTCTCCCTACCTTACGAGAACTGGAGTGGAACCTCAGTCTGGGGTCCAGTGTGGGCTTTGAATGGCTAAATGGCTGCTTGGCACGAGAACTGACAGTGCTGCGCTAGGGGGAGGCAGAGGAGCCACTCACCTAGAAAAGTAGAAGGTATGTGGGGACCCACTGAACACGGGGATCATGGCCCACCAGTTGAAAACCAAGGGTTTAGAGACACGCATAAATATTGGCCTGAGAATTATTGCTCTCACTCCGGCGTGCGCGGCAATACCCAACATGTGTAGCACGATCTTCGTTTTCATATGTAGGCGCACCTGACGGGCGTTTACGTGAAGACGCAGGTGCTCGCAGGGAACTTAAAACATTTTTTACACATCATTTTTACATTTATTTAATTTCAAAAAACTATTTTTTTTAACTTTACTTTAAGTGCTATCACATAGGGGGGCTTACAAGCATGTGATAGCAGATAAGCAGTTGCAGGTCCTCTTTAAGGTGATACTGGGGGTCCAAAAGACCCTTAGCATCACCTTTACACCAGAAATAAGCTATTGAAGTGCAGATCACGCTTCAATAGCTTATTGCTGTGCTTTAGGAGCCCAGCACTGACAGCTATGGGACCGGAAGTGATTTAATCTGCATCGCTCCCAGGCCCATAGTACGGGGAGGGAATCGGCAAACTGAGGTTCGCCCATCTCCTCCCCAGCTTCCCCCCGACACCAGAGAAGCTGGTCCCGGGCCCGTAGCAGGGGCAACGGAGCCCAGGTGACACGGCGGGGGGGGCGGCCCGTTTACCGGCCCGGAGAATCGATCGGGCAACAGCTGAGTTGCCTGATCACTTCTACTGTAAAGCCGACAGTCGGCTTTACAATTGTAAACGGAGTCCTGGCGTGGGCCCGGTGCCAGTGACGTAATATGGACGTCACTGTTCACTAAGGGGTTAAAGGGAATCTATGTTGAGCAAAATATAGGGGCCACTTCTCAAAAAGCTAGTTATGTGGCTTTGACACGGCTTTGGACTAGGAAAGCACTTAATGGCTAACACAGTAGACTTAAGTTTGGAAAGTGCAACAATGCAGAACCAAGTGCCCTAAAGATACAGCCCCACAATTGTCCAGTCCAGAGGGGTCCAAAGCTCCAAAGCTATCGCTGATGATAACCCATTTAGTATAGCTGTGTATAGAGACCAGCTCAAGCAGCATGTAGGTAAATGTTAATTGAAGAAAAAATGTTTTCTTGAATTAAAAAGGAAAAAAAGGCTACTATAAGCAGTTAAACTTTTCTCAGTAGAGAAAAGAGGTCTATCCCCCCAGAACATTAGCACAAAAACAGGCATGCTGGGAGTGTGAGGGGTTATACCAGTTGGTCACTGTGTTTCTGTTTGCCAGTGTCCAGACCCTCCTGTTTTCAGCACTATAACCCAATTGTCCCTCATATTAAGTCCCTCACTGAATGAGAAAGAAAAAAAAAATGTCCTTAGTTATAGTTTAAAGTTTAGAGTGCTGCTCTTCAATATAGAAGTACCAATTTTCTGTTCATTCAAGTTTCTAATGCTTCAAAGATGCGAAAAAATAAAAAAGAAATCACACTCTGTAGCTATTCAGAGACGTACTTGTGATCCACATATCTGGTGACTCAGACAGCAGGATAACCTTTTCTTTTAATTATTAAAGTGTATGCCTGTCTTCTGCTTCATCATTTTGTAAAACAGTCTCTGAAGCTTGATAACCACCATAAAGATTTCACTTGTAATAAATTGTGTTAACTAAAAAGCGCACTTTAAACACGAGTAAACTGATGATGAAAAAATATCCCTCAGTCAAAAGCGATGTAAAAAAACATTGTGTCCTATTCACTGAACATGGATTTGTCAAGCATATCACTAGGGGACAGAAAAGAAAAGGTTTCATAACAAAAAAGAGGCATAAGAATAAGCTGATAATTAGTGGCAGAAATGTAGCATATGTTAATAAAATACTTAGATACTGAATATACCGACCATCAGATTTAGTTTCTAAGACTATTTGACCAAAACGATTTAGGTAGAGGATTTAGGAGAGGCCAGTTCTACTCATCTATGGACCACTCAGATGGCTAGATAAATTGGATGTAATATGTGACTGTGCTAACTATAGGTGAGAATAGGGAGTTTATGGGAGATGTATGAGCAGATCTGGGCACGACAATTTTTTCCTAATATTTAATCTACAAATGTTGGCAGCAATGGTATGATATTTAGCCATCTGTTTGACATCAATACAATAGTATCACGAACATCAATTATCTTGGAATATCTCTCCAATCAGCCACCAACTTTATTGTTGTAAATTCCATGCAAAGTCCATAATACAAGGTATACATCACCATAGTATCTCGCCCACTCCAGCGCCTCTCTATGGTGGGAGCACACTGCAGCCGATATCTATATTGATCTGCAGTCTGGTGGAATTGGAGCGGTGAGTTTTTTGCTTTTCTGGATATTATCGATTATTTGGGGTTTCTACAATCTGATCAACAACCTCTGTGTATTAACAATCATTTAAACACCCAGCAAGTTCTGGAAAGCGTGATGGGGGATGTGACGGGGTATACTGATAGCAAGTGCCACAAACATGGATAACACAAGAAGGGCAGAATGAACGTACAATGCAAAAAGAAATTACAGAAAATGGGAAACTGCTAAAATTAGAATCTACTGTACCAGATAGGTAAATGGCTTTATCAACCATGAACTCTTCTGCAAATCGAATGTGACAGAAATTCTTCTTGCTTTTGCGAATTGCTGTAATGTCTCCACATTGCTCAAAGACCTCTTGAATTATCTCCTCTGTAGCGTTTTCAGGTAATCCTCCAACGAATACAGTTTTACAGCCTGGAGGCCTCTCTCTTGTAGATGGAGGAGGCAAATCTATGGACAAATTGGAAATATTAAACATTAAGTATTTTCCCTGTAATACAAATGTAACCTATTAAAATTTGAACATTACATTCAAGCACTTTATAATGAAAGTCTCAGGCTAAATATTGTATGTGGTAGCTTTTCTTTTTATAAGGGTAGAAAATGCACATACCATTCCCGTATGTAAATGTTCACTTTAGATTGGCAACAATTAATCCAATTAATGAAATTTAAATTAATTTAAAATAACACAGAATGACAAAAATAACCTAGGATCTTTACAGTTCTAGTGCTACAACAGATTGAAGCACACATGTTGTATATTCAGACTTCATAAAAAGCGTGTTTTGTTCAAAAAATATCACTTACAGAAGTGCCGTGGGATATTCAAAGAGGAAATAAAAATAATAACAATGTTAGTGATCATATCACAGAAGGTAGGAAGTAAATGGTGATCTGGCCGGTTAAATACTTAAAGTCCAATTCCAGCGATCCAACAACAGTCCTCTTCTGGGTTAAATAGGTCAATCAGGACACACCTGGACTCCCTGGGGGGCGTCATTAAGCTACCCTGGAGCTTACAGAAGAACAGGGCCATGTCAATACGTAGTGCTATTCTTTACAGCAGAGTCAGGTCTGCCCACCATCAGAGGAAGGAAATTCATGACATCTCAGGTCTGGACAGAAGTTCCCTTTAAAAAAGATATGTATGCAGAGATGTAAAAAGAAATGCTGGGGGGAGGGGTGGGTAGTTTTAAGGTGGAATTAGACTTTAAAATATTGTGGCAGTGCACAGTTTTTCACAGATCATTAAAGTGAACATGTCAGCTATTTTAAACCTTTTAAGGTAAAAGGCCTGCTTTGGTTAGGAGCCTTTGGTGCCATATCTTACCAATAATAGATTATATTATAGATATATATCTATAATAGATATAGATACTAATAGATATATTTTTTCTAAAATAATAAAAGGGTTGAGCTATAGGGCAATTCTAAATACAAATTCTGGTTAGCAGCGTTTCCATATTCTTCCAAGACTTTAAAAAAAAAAGTGAAACTATTTTTAACATTTTTTTGGGGTTTAATTGGTTATAATGCTGTGCAGCTTTAGTCTGCTGGACTTCCATTTTCCTAGTTAAGAACAGCTTCAAACATTTTATAATATTCAAGACAAAACATTCACTATTTGTAATAAAGACTTTGCCTGAAGAACAATATTTTACAATATTATCTGTAAATACATATACTATATAAACAAACATGGAAAACAGGTACAGAAATCTATTTCTGTTCAGCAACATTGAAAAACATCAAAAGAGAGGGGGAGACAAAACACAAAAAGAAGTGGAAAACAGAAAGCACTGACATTATGATGAAAAACTCTGCTGGTTATCACCGTTGTCTTGTTCCAGATAAAACAGAACGGCAGAACAGAGAAATGTCTAACCTTAACATCATGTGTGTTATGTACTTGCCTCTGAAGCTGAAAGCATGCTCTATTATTTACATTTAATTGAGAGTGTTATTAAATATTTTGAGGCAGTTTGTAAAGTTGAGTTTGGTTGTGATGATGTGATGGGATTACATTAACAAATGCAAGTAATTCCCACTGACAGAATAAAAACTCTTCAATCCTATGCAAGGTCTCCAAGGTACTAATGCTTGTTTGGTTTCCATTTGTTTTGCTGTTTGTAAAATGGGCAAAATTAAATATCCATAAGTCTAGTTGTTTGGGAAAGATGTAGAGGTACTTGAGAAATCTATATTCCTTGTACAGAACAAACATAAAGATGATAAACTGATGTTGCTAAGCATGAACTTGTGAAGTATTTACCAGTTTCTGGAACAATGGAACTATACACAAAAAGTGGACTGTTCAGAAACAGTATTTACTACACCCTGTACGGGCACTTAGATGTGCAGGTATGAGCCAAAGGATTTCAGGAACCCACATTGGTCAGTGGGTCCATAAATACATTAGCTCAGCTCAGACTTTGCAAAAGGGAGGTATGCACAGTCACCTCCTCGCCTTATCTAATCATGGGTAAAGGATAGCAGCTAATTAGAGTTTTCTAAACTATCTGATCACTAAAATCCCAAAGAAGCCTCACCTGATCATATTGTGCAAGTACCTAATACACGTGATTGAAAATGGTTAGACATTACTACCACCTCATATGAAAAGATACTTTTACAAACTAGTTATGCAGTAATATGATACTTGAAATAGGAACTATAACAGGTTTTAACGTTAACCCTGCACACACAAAAATCCATTTAATATCCCATCCAGTCCACCATGGAAAAATGCTAAGGAAAACCTGAAAAAACCAACTCATCAGCAGTTAGAAGTTGATGATATTTACCGCAGATTGCAGCCCACTTACCTAGGCTTTCTCTGAGATGTTGTGTGAAGCCTCAAGATCCCAAATACTGCAAGAATGCACTCCGGCATCCTCAGGTTTCTCAAGATTTCACAAAAAGGCTGAGTGACTTTACCGATCCCTAAGCAAGTGGCCAGAAGCTAGGGTCTGTGGTGACTAAAATGTAACTTTTTTTTTTACATTTGTAATAAAACAAAAATAGATAGAATACAGCAATGTAAAGAACAGCAACATATTGCAGAGGGTGACCTAAATGATGCAAAGTAGCTTATTATATGAAATTGACAGTACAGCAGTTCAACAAAAACCTCAGGCACCTGCAGTAAGCACATTCGGGCATCAAGATTTTGAATATAACAGATTATTATGACCACCTGACGTTTGTAGGCAAATTAGCTATAATTAGCTATAATTTCGCGCTGAATTTGCTATAGGGTCAGACCATTCTAAATAGGTTAGCAGGTTGTTTACCATGACAGTGGAAGTGATTTTTTTCTGAAGATATGGGTAAACAATGCGATTTAACAGCCTTTGAACGTGTGATGATTGTTGGCGCTCAAGCCATGGAGCGAGTATCAGCAAAACAGCAGAATTTGTTAAATGTTCAAGAGCAGCTGTTGTTAAAGTGTTTAAAGACTGGACTGTCAGCCGAAAATCTGGGTCTGAACGTGCGAATTGTGGCCATCAGCGACTAGTCAATGATAGGGCAGAATGGATAGTGGCAAGACTGGTACAAGACAACAGAAGGGCAACCGTGCAGTGTCAGATTCCTTGCATCACCTTTCAACATCTCATGGAGTCACGATGCAGCAAAACCAAGTCATCTCGTGGAGTCATCTCATGGCCCAACGAAGTACTGATGGGGTGGTCCTAATAATCTGGCCACTCAGTGTATAGTCAACAAGAGCATGAAGCACCTATACTCTGCAATACGAGAAGAGACAGCAACAGAAAGACTAAACAGAAAGAAGAGTGAAGTAGAGTAGAGAAGTGAAAGAAACGTAAAAAGTACAGAAATGGGGGGCCATCCCTGGGACCCACACAAGCCTGGAGCAAATCAACAGGGCCGCTATGGAACATTACAGGTAAATAAGGTGCCGGTCAAATGAGGGCAGTAAGTAAGAAAATTTTAATTTTTAACTGCTAATTAATTTTTTTATCAAGTTTTATTTGAGATTTTACATATAAATAGGTTATATTCTGTATTTTCTTGTGCAAGGTTTGCTTCATTTGTGGTGTTTGCACTCTTAAGCTGGTCATACACTATACAAATTTTGGCTGGTTCTTCATGAATTGTTTTTCATCAAACGTCAGCTGCAAGCACCACTTGAGTATTATTTTTTTTTTAAACAAATTCTATTAGAATTTTGTGATACAAAAACAAAAACACTGTCTGCGCATCTGCATGCCGATAACGCACGCTTTAACACAGGTGACATCAAGAACAGACACGTACAAGCCTCAATCGCAGGCTATATTGAAGAAAACAGTAACGAGAAAATAAAATAAAAACAAAATAACATATGTTCTAAGCAGTTTAACATCAATAAATTGCATCTATGATAGGTGTCTCGACACAGATGTTTATGCAATCGACCTAGTGCCATATAGTAAATAGTATGGATCCTAACTTCCAATGAATACAGACAAACAAATGTAAGCTGGAGATACAAATGACTCAACTATTTCTGTTCTAACGCCAGTTTCCCCAGGGTGTTCGACATGTGACCAGTTAGATACCATTTTGTGTAACGGAATGGTTTAACAATTTGACTAATTTCCGCTGTCGTGTAGGATTGAATCAGGAACAATTTCCATCTGCGGAAGAAAGATTTAGCAGACGCATCAGCATGTGATTCTGCGTCTATTCTTTCCCTGCAAAAGAGAAGTTTGAGCTCCTTGATCACCTCCTCTACTGTAGGAGGCTTGTCATCGCTCCATTTGCGCATAATCACTCTTCGAGCTGCAAGGAGGCAGATGTGTAACCAGTCCAGCCCCTTGGGGTACCTACCCTGTCTGTCTCCTTCCTGTGAGGAGCAGTGACTGAACAGACATAGGGCAGGGTCTAGTTGGGGATCCCAGGAAAGAATCTGTGCGATATAGGACATCAGGAGCGTCCAGAATTGATGGATCCGGGGACAAGTCCATAGGCAGTGTTTCAAAGTGGGATGGGCACAGCCACATTTCGGACAGCTGGATGACTTGGTTTGATGTGAAGCGGTGCCTTCCGGCATGAAATAAGGGACATAAGCCCTGTGCAGCAGCTTAAACTGGGTCTCCCTCCATATTTCGCTAGTGATCACCTTCCTGACTTTGTTGTATCACTGCAGGGCCTTGTCCACTAGGTCCGGATCTTCGAATTATCTGGCCCAAATTTTAACAATCGAGATAGCCAGCAATGGCGTGAATACTGTTTGAAGTCTAGGATATAGAGTAGATATTGAGTATGATTTAGAGGACAGTAGTACGTCTAGGAATTAGGTAGCAAAAATTTTCTTGGGATCCCTAGATATCGCTTGCCAATGTTTAGTGGCCTGTAAGAAGTGGAGAAAGTGATGTGAGGGCAGACGATACCGTGTCATCAATTCTTGGAATGTGTATGGTGCCCACGTGTCCGGCCGGAAC